AAAACCCGGCCCGGAGCTGTCGGAGCGGGGCCGCGGCTGGGCCATGTCAGTGACCCCAAGTCGGAGCCATAAAAGTTTCTGTCGGAGTCTTTCGTTGTGCTCAGGGGTTTAAACCCTGCAGTTTCGCCCCTGATTGAAAAACACCTCCTTGGCTTCCACCCCTGGGCCAGGGCGAGGGTCGGCTCTGCCCGCGGCCACACCGTGAGGGGGCTCCTGAGGGAAGGAGGTCGTTGCTTTATCCCCAGGGACGCCTCGAGTGTTATTTCTGTGTGAGAGGCCTCTGCCTGTGGTGGGGCAGGGTGGTGTCTGTCACCCACCCGGGCACAACCCCGCTGGGACAGGTTTGTGCCAGACCCCCGGTGCCATCGCTCCTGTGGGACAAGGGACAGGGCAGAGGAGGTGTCTGGCAGCCCTGGTGATGCTGGGGCACCCGCCGAGCTTGGAGCAGCCCGAAACCACCCCAGGAAAGGGGGGCTGCAGGGGGATGGAGATCAGGGAGAGGGGACGTGAGGGACAAAGAAAGGCCGATGGATAAAGAGATCAAGTCCTGCGTGTGGTGTGCCTGAGAGATAATCAGTGAGAGTGTGTATGTTTGTGTGCACATGGAGTATGCACGTGAGCTGTAATGGAATTTATAACTCATTAAAATTAGAAATAATAGTAATAATAATGCCTATTTCTTATTCTGTTCTCAAAGAGCACCTTCTCATAGAGCCCTGCTGCACTCTGAGAGCTCCTGCACCATCCTGCTCAAACTGCACAGCAATTCCAGGCAGCAGCTGGGAACAGAATGGAGCTTTGTCTGCAAGATCCAGGCAGTGCCAGTCGGCTCGATCTGCCTGCAAAATCCTTCATTTGGCAGCGCCCAAGAAAATGGAAAGGACACTAATAACAGCCAGGGTTGCTCACCAGCAGGAAAGGAGCAGAGGTTCAGCAACAGCTTTGTGTTTTGAGGAAGAGTGTCTATGTCTGCCTGACACATGGAGCAGTCACAAGAGGAGAATGCTCTGGGGAGCTCTTTGGCCTCTGCTGCTTTGTGTCTGTATTCACGCTCACCACAGCTGTAGTGATAATAATAATCTCAAACACTTGGGTCATTTAGATGGAAAAATAAAAGCCACAGAAGTCTTTTGGTTACTTCTCGGTGCTCAGTGGCTGACACTATGTGCATTGGGAGTGCATAAACATTAAAATCTGGAGAAGCTTTCCAGGTTTAGGCCTTTCCTCAGCAGGAGCTGAATAATAATGTTAAGCTTGTTCTTTTAGTTACAAGGTGAGCACTTAGGACTGGTCAGAAAATCATCAGAAAGGCACATGGGGAGGTATTTTATGATAAAAAGTCTGTTATTACAAACTATGTCTTACTTTCACATGCAGGGCACATTCCAGACGTACAGCTGCCAGGGAGATCCAGGGAGTAATTTACAACAAGGAATATTCACACTTAGCAGCGCTGCAGCCAAACATTGGCTCAAAATAACAACTGGAAGTACGATGAGTAAATAAATAGCATGAGGAGATTTTCAGCCACTGTGGCAGGAAATGTCACTTTGCATTTGTCAGCGGTCAGCTCCTGCTGCTGTTGGTAGCCAGGCAGTGAGACAGAACAGCTGCCACCGAGCTGGGTAGAGCAAAGCTGTCTCAGGCTCTGCGTGGGCCTTGTTCTCTCTGGACCAAACCTCTCAGCCCTCCCAGCCGCACTGAATTTCCTCAGCCAACCCACGCAGATCAAAGCAGGGCGTTTTTCCCCAAAAGCTCTTCCCAGGCTGCTCATGCTGCCAAGGGGCTGAGCAGGACAGCAGAGGGGAGTGGGCACTGCAGAGCCAGGGAGTGCAGTCAGCTGTGCTGTCCTGGATTCTGTCCTTCCCCTTGGCTCTGGGAATGTGGAGCAGAGCCCCTGAGCTGTGTGGCTGCAGGGCTGCTGGTGCCAGGCTGGGATGAGCGGCCAATGTCCCCCTGCATTTCAGGGTTTAGTGTTTTGTATTTATTTTAAGGCCTCCTGTGCCCCTTAGAGCACAGATGGGACACCCAGTCCGTGTGTGTTCACACGGGCCTGAGGAGAACAAAATGCGGAAAAAACCCAGCACTTAACTCCGCTGGGAAGTGCCACTGTGGGCTCATTTCGGCCGCACGCTCAGTTTGCTGCTGCTTACCGGGACGCGGTGACTTTAACGGGACACAACATCCCCAAAAAACAGGAAAAAGAGCAGCACCCACGTGGAGATGCCGGGGATTGAACCCGGGACCTCATACATGCAAAGCATGCGCTCTACCGCTGAGCTACATCCCCCTGCCCACAGCGCTATCTCTGCCCGCCGGTCATGTCCGGGCTGCGCCGGCCCCGGTGCGGAGCGGGGCCGCACCGAGCTTCCGCCAGGGCTGCGGGAACTGCTGTGCACAGAGCCGGCTGCCATGCAAGGACAGCCCTCGGAAAGACAGGAAAGCGCTGGTGCGCACACTGAAAACGGAATGGTTTTGCTCCGTCGGAAATCAGAGAAATCATGCGTAAAGAAAAAAAAAACCAAGGAAGAAAAAGTACAAGTAACCTCCCCGTCGGGGAATCGAACCCCGGTCTCCCGCGTGACAGGCGGGGATACTCACCACTATACTAACGAGGATGGTTAGGCAGCGTTTCCCCGCGGGCCAGGTCAAGCCCGAGCGGCGGCCGCGGGACCCATCGCCACCGCGCTTCGGGAAGCGCTTCCTGACACAAAAGCCCCTGCGCTGGGACCGGCTCAGCCGCCCGAAGCACGGACAGCAGCTCCCGCCCTCTCCGCTCGGCGGCAAAAGGAAACACTTTGATGGTAAAGGAAAAATAAAAATTAAAAATAAAAACTCTCTGCCGAAACCCGGGATCGAACCAGGGACCTTTAGATCTTCAGTCTAACGCTCTCCCAACTGAGCTATTTCGGCGGGCAGGAGCGCCATTCCTGGCCGTGGATACGACCCCGCCCTGCGCCCCCCGTGCCCGTCCTCGGTTCCGAGATACCCCGGGATCCATCCACACCTTCCCGCCAGGGACCCGCCGGGCCCGGCAGCGCGGGGGCTTCCGCACACAGCCGGGGCTGCGCGGCGGACCCGCTCCCCCCCCGGCACAAAACGCGGCTCTGCCGCCTCTGTCCCCCCTCCCCCCCGGCGGGGGCTCCGCGGCAGCGTCACAGACAAACCCTGCGCGGGGCCGGCCACAAAAAA